TCAAACAACAAAAATCAGCGTTATATTTTGCAAAATTTTCACAGAACTAGTTTCGATGGTTTTACCGAACCACCATCCTCAGCTGCAAAACCGCAAATGAACAAGATAGGAAATAACAAGATATGATTATTTCCTATCTTGTTCATTTGCGGTTGTTCATTTGTTTGACTTCTGAATTAGTATTAAACTGCTTTTAGGGGAAATTTTGAAAAATTGGAAAATATTTTTTGTATAACTGAAGAGAGAGATGGGCGAACATTTATTTTACAATCTAATTATCATTTCCGCAAATGACACATTCAGAATAATTAAAATGTATTTCTGTTGACAGCAATTCTGCAGTATTCAGAAATATTGATAAGTTTTTAATTTATTGATAGCCTAAAATAAAGATATTACCCACAATCTATTTAATATTTTCGAAAAACTATTTTTATATTTCTTAATCAACAAAAGATGCGAATTAAAAGCAATAAAATAGATAAATATAAAATTAAAAATTATTAAGAGGATATTTGTTGAAATATAAGAAAATGAAATAGTAAATTAATAATAACAATAATAAACGCCACAAAAAAAGTCTGAAAGGTTTCAGATTTTAACGGTGGCCCAAAAAAGTTTGTAAAAGTTCTATACGCTCTCGCTGAGTTTGCAATCTACTTACTTTACTGTGGCATTGTCTCTACTTAACCAACTTTTTAACAACCTACTTTTTTTTTCTTTTTTAGCTTCATTACTAAGCATAATTTTCTTCACACTTACGCCGTATTCATAATACGAGTATATATATGTGTGATTCAACATCAAAATCACAAAATGCTTATTTAGTTTAAGAAAATTTAGAATTCGTTAGTTCGCAGTGTTAAGTGTTGGCATACACTTTTATATTTTTTCCAGTCTTTTCTCAGTTTATCATATCAATGTTCAGTTTTCTTAGTAAGATGCCTTGCAAAAGTATTTTTATCTTTTTATTATTAAGGTTTTGTGTGTTAACTTTATTTAGAAAATGCCAAGATTTTTGTACCTACGCCGCTAAATTCAGTTCAACGGCAAAGTCACCAGATATTTAAAAACAGCATGTCTTTAAAACTTTCGATAGACAGTATCGCTCGCTGGAGATAAAAATGTTTTATGCCACTGCTCGTTTTGAAATCGCTGAATTTTTAACCATACATTCCTTAGAGTTTTACAAAATATGAAACAGATAAAAAAAAACATATTCAAAATTCAATGTTCGGGCTTTCGGGTGGCCATATTAGGGTGGACGATATTTTCTTTGCACGATTTCTCCGAGTGAATTTACTTTCACGAAAGTTATGCTGCTAATAAGGAAGAATCTACTAACGGCGGTGAGTATAGAATTTTGTTTTTCAATCTGGAATCAACAGACATTTTAATCGTCATATTAACGTACATAATTAATAATTTTATAACATTTACACCATTAATAAAATTATAAAAGGAGTATATAATGTCATGCATTACCTACCTCAGCTTTAAAATAAAAGTTTTGTTTCTATATGAAGTGCACGAAATATATTATTCAATTTAACATGCTAATTCCAAAATTCTATACTTTTGCTGCATTAAAAAAATTGTATCTTAAAATGATATCGTGTAATGTAACCCGTATAAACAGAATACCTCTGTAGCTCTCTCAATCTTGCCTACTCACTGAACACATTACATAATAAAAAGGCACCTGTAGGTATCTTATAATACGCCCAATTTTTCAGCCCCCTTCTGCCCCTGATCCTAAATTTTTCTATTTTTCCATATCTCCATTGTTAAGTGCTCAGCTTTCTTAGTGTGTGCGTGTATATTATGTTTTTAACAGACGTTATTACACGAGGCTGCTCCATTGCACCTGTCTTAAAGGATGGGGGGGGGTATCTTCAAGGGCTCAAGATCTTGCATTAGGGGACTGGGGGCACTTTTTATAAATATATTTTCTCTGCTTTCCATTTCCGAGACTCAGGGGGAGGGTAAAAGGAGGAGCCTGGGCAGTAAAAGCTGGAAAAAATGCTGGGGAGGGGGAGATTTAGGGTAGCAGGCACGCTTCATGTGACAGGAGACTTGAGGCGAAAGATTAGCAAAGTTGTTTCGCTCTTTCTTCTTCCTTCCCCTTTTCAACATTTTTTTTTTTTTCTCTTGTGCTACGGTCTGTATTTTTCAGGCTTAGATAGAGGATCGAGTGTTGGATGGACATACACAGAAAAAGAGAGTACTGCAATGAGCAGGCAGTACATGTTTTTTCATATTTAAACTAAACGTAATTTTTTGAATATTTTAATTTTAATGAAATCTAAGTAAACACAAAAACTACAGCTAAATTTACTATTGGATGATGGAAACGTTTGTATTATTGGTTTGTATATTTTTTCATTGCATGATCAATTTAAATTGTTTTGAAAAGATGTTTTAGATAAATTTGAAATTGAATTGCTTGCTAATATAAACTGATTTTATTGCTTTTGTGCATTTTCTCACATAAAATGCAACTCACGTGCATTTTGCGTGCTAAACGCTATTGATTACATTAATATTGTTTTAGATTGGATTAATAAGTATTCGTGTTTCCTATTTAAAAATATTTTTAAACATTTAATATTGAAAACGTTTCTTACTGCCAGTGCATAACAGAAGTGAATCACAAATCTTCCTTTACCTACATGGGATTGGAAAAGCGCTTAAAGTTTTAAAGTATCATTGCTTTATCTGAAATATGTCGATGAATTAAACTGTGTTCATCTGTTCTTTCTAGGAGCTTAATATCTGAAATAATTCTGTTACGTTATAGAACAACTGATTTCAATTTCACGAACCTATACAAAACACAATAGAGTCGTAAAATTGAAATTTGTAAATGCTAAAATCATTTGAAAAAAATCTTTTGGGCTAATGCTACAGTTCTTTAAAATATGTAATTTGTCAAAACGCGAGTGTACAAAATATACTTTATAAAACTGTAAACTTTATAAAACTTACGTCATCTACATTTTTTTATAGATCAAAACTGAAAAATTTCTAACAGAATGTTATTTAATTTATTAGGATATTATTTAAAAGAGATCGTAAGACAAATGTAATTGTCAAATGTTCAACTATCTTTAAAAAATATACTATATCAAATAGCATTGTTTAAGTATTTTTAATAACTACTTACAATGCAGTAATTTTTTTAAATCATTACAATGCAGTAATTTTTTTAAATACTATTTGTTAAATACTTTACATTCCAATGCAGTATATAATAACAACTTTATTTGATAAGAATAGCATTTACTACATCATATAACGAGTTCTGCGCTATAGGTGTATTTCTTTCTTTCGTCCTTTATGCTTATAACTTTCAAGAGCTTAACTCTAGTCGTAAATAAATAGATTGTCTGGAGTCTGAAGTAAATATATGCTCTTTTTTAAAAGAATTTAGTGATCTAAATACCATGCGAAGAGTTTAAGTTAAATCTAAGTTTTTTTTGTTTTAAGGATAAAATTTTAGGCGTGAGTGATAAGTAATATTAATGCTACTTTTAAAGTTTTGCTGCTCGCTCACGATTGATACAGAACTTTAGAAATCCTCTTAAGGGAACAATTTTTAATTTTAATTTAAGTAAATTCCATACAGTTTCAGAAATGTCTTAAAAAAATTTCGACAAAAAGTTTTACTCAATAATTATTAAGTATATAACTAACAGCTTCATATTTTAAAAAGACGTCATCTTTGTTTTGATAAATTCAAAATCGAAAGTAGCGAAGCAAAAAAAAAAAAAAAAAAAAAAAAAAAAAAAAATTGACATAATAGTCTAAAATGTATAATATTTTAGTTTAGTAAAATATTTTACCTGTGTTTAACAAATCAAAGAAAGTGTGGCACAAAACCACTTTGTTACGAAATGATATTTTGGCTGTTTATTTTCTCATTGTGGTTGAACAGAAAGAACCTGCTTTATATGTTATATGCTCTGCATGAATGTATTAATGATACAAATATCTAATAAAATTTCTTATGAGGCTTATTCACGATATCATACTGATAAAATAAATGCTGCACTTTAAAAAACATAATTTTAGAACTTTTTTTTTTCAAATATTATGTAAGAAAAGAAATTCGCTACCCTAGACTAAATGTTCTAGAGAAAATTTTATATTATTTGCATAGTTTATTATTTTGCATAAATATAAAAGAATTATATACTTTATAATAACGCATTATCTTTATGACGTTTCGAAACTACAGGGCTTTTAAATATTATTTCTGCATCTTTTTTAAAGTAATGACTGTAATGTTGGGAAAATGTATTCTTAAGCGCAGTGTTTTACGGCTGAATGAAGGCTCTGATTCTGAAATCTGACATGCATTGCGGACATATGCTGGCAGTTCAAAGTTATACTTCACGCAAATTACTTTGGCTCAGTTAAAATTCTGGCGAACATTGCTGGTATAGAAATTCGATCTGAAGATATCAGGATTCCCTTTCATACATGATAACTGAATTTTGATATCTAACATGCAATAGATGCAGGAAACGTCTTCTGACTTCACCATAATTTTCAATAAAAGAGATTTGGGAATTTCAAGAAGCTGGACAAAAATTACTTCTATATCAGAAGCAACCGTGAAAAATAAAATAAGCTTTTGAGTAAAACCTTTTTATTCATTTCCGAATCTATGTCGCCTTCTTTCTAGAACGACAGAGAAAGTGAATTCCCTTTTATGTACAGGGACAAAAACATCTCACCCGTGCCCCTTGACGCGCCGTTACCTAAGCTCAGACTTCAGACAAATGAGCCCGCCAGGTGCAAAGGTTTTACCGCGACTCTCACAGACGCGATGCGCGTGGCATTGATTCAGGATCATCCTTTCCATACTCCTACTCCCATGAAACTCTCCTCATCCAACGGGATGTTTCGGAGGCAGGTGACGCCCCCAAGCGGCCACCATAGGAAACGCCGTGCATTTCTGTCCCCCCTCCCCTTTCTGAATCTCTTTCATCTTGCTTGTTGTTGACGATATTTGGTTTTTGCATCTCATTTGGCATTCGACCAGTGGTTGACGCACGCCTTGTTCGTAGCGCCCCCGCCTTAAGCGGCCACCCTTAGGCTTAACTCATCGTTCGGAGACAGCTGGTGAGCGTTTTTATTTACATTATTTACCACAGTTTTACGTAGAGATTATGGATGATTCTCGTATGGGATTTAGGAAAACAGATTTCTTGTACATTTTGCAAATGGAAGTGATGGAGATGTCGCTCTGAAATTAAAGATTTAAGTCAATGTACTTTTTTTTTTTTTTTTTTTTTGTGTGTGTGTGTGTGTGTGTGTGTTTGTCATTTTTTAGGATATATTATGACGTTTAAGTGGCTGTTGGCTTTTTGATTTAGTCACATTTACCAAGTAAAATTTTTTCAATATTCTGTTAATAATGAAAGCTTAAATAACCTCTTTCTTAGTTTTAGTCCAAAGCAGCTTTGTCCCTGAATGACTATTCTTTTCCTTTTGCGATTTTGCGTTGGTTGACTATAAATGTCCGTTTCACTTTTCAAACTGTTGCCACCAAATGTTAGAGTCCTGCATTATATTTGAAGAAATCAAATAATAAAAAATCTGCATAAATGTGTGTATATTTCTCGCTTTGTGATAAAACAACGGAACATAGAGCAATCGAATTTTGAATGACGTAATCCTACTGCGAATATTGGTATCTGGAAGCCCAAGTTTGAAATTTGGAATTTGTTTTATTATCTATTTTATATTTTGTAAAACTTTAACGAATTTTTGATTAACAAACTCGAGGATTAATTTAGAAGTCAAACAACAAAAATCAGAGTTATATTTTCAAATTTTCACAGGACTAGTTTCGATTTTTTACCGAACCATCAGTGCAGATGAACGAGAGAAGAATTTGAGCTTATCTCGTTCATTTGCGCTTTTACAGCTGAGGATGATGGTTCGGTAAAACTATCGAAACTAGTCCTGTGAAAATTTGAAAATATAACGCTGATATTTGTTGTTTGACTTCTAAATCAATATTTGTTCGGCGTGTTAATGCATCTTAAACTCAAAGATTTAAAAGCGAGCAAAAGCTATGTTGTACAGAAAAAACATTTTTATCTTCATCGCGCAAGACTCTGTATCGGAAATTCTAATGATATGCTCAATTTAAAACTATTTTGCGGAATTGCTCTTGAACTGAATTTTATGGTTTAAGTGAGAAGAACGTGATATTCAATAAATAAATGTAACAGGCAAAATGTTAAAAAAACGCCTCTTTGGATGCAATTTAAAATTTGAACCTTTCAGTTTTTATTATCTATAATTTGGTTTTTTATTTACTTATTTTCTTTATGACAAAATTTATTAATTGATAAACTCTCAATTGATTGATAAACTTTAAAATTGTGTAGTTACTACAGATACCCATTTCTGCTCTGCAACTTTACTACTGTCATTCATAAATTATCCGATATCTAATGTTATCAATAACCTCAAGATAGGAGTTTTGTTCTCTAATACTGTAAAAGTATTGTAGATGGAAAGTCAAGACATACAGTCTGTGGCGGCTGTATTATCAGAACATGCAAATGGCTCCAGATAAACATCTTCCCTCCTCATTATTGTTTTTCTAGAAATTGTTTGTACATCAAGCATACCCTGAATAAAATTTAGTCCGTCTCCATCTTCAGCAGTATATATAAGCGTGCACTATAATAACTGCAAATAGTGACTATAATATAAAATATTTATAGAGTTATTTTATGATTTTTACCATTTATATCCTTCTTTTTGGTATGGTTTGATAAAAATTTCTATTCAAATGTAAATTAATTTAATTGCTCACATTTTAGCGAGTTAAGAATTATTTGTTGTTCTTGAACCATGAAATGGGTAAATTTATTTTTTAACTCTTCTTGAATTCTTTTTAATTTTTAAAAAGTCTGAAAAGATTCATATTTTAACTGTCGTCCGAAAAGGCTTTTTCAAAGTTTTATATGGTTTATCGGTAGAGATTATCAATACAGATGGTCCAGAGAGAATAGCGAATTATTTTATAGAATACTAGATGAATATACATTTAGACTAGAATGGAAATCTTTTATATCTTCTGTATATTTAAAAAGTGAAAAAATACATAATGTAATTCTATAAAAATATTTAATGTTTTTAATTAGATCTATCGTGAAATAAATGTATTTTTATGTAAATCAATCGGATTAAAAATTATAAAAATAATGTTCTTAAGAATTGTATCTACTGCATCTAAACAGCTTAGTCTGTTAACAAGTAGATTAAATCTGAGTCATAAATATCTTAACATTTTGCCGAATGGCAACAGATTCGAATGAAAAGTGAGGCAACACAAAATCGCGTTCGAGACTAATAACAATTTACCTATTTTTCTAGTGGGGGAATTGGAGGGGATATTAAAGTTTAACTTACCTAGTTTGAAATTAGTCTTTCTTTTTAATTTTAACAAAGTGTAAAAGTCAGTCACTCATATATAACACATTTCTGTCAAATACCTGTTGAACACATTTTTTTGGGTATAAAATATTTAAAAATACTAAAATTGTTTAGGCAAAATTTGCCTTCGACAACTGAAATTATGAAATATGGATTTTCTTAATTTCTGAAAGAAGTAAGCAAACTTAGTTTCTTTAATCACTATAATTTTCATATTATATAGTTTATTTTAATTACTTCCCTCTAGGTAATGTTACTGCATAAGATCATTTCATATTTTTTCTAAATATATTTTTGACAATTATTTAAAATTAATTTATTATTTATTATTATTAAGTTTGGTATTCATTGCGTTAAAAATATTTCAGGAAATTTATTTTGTTTATTTGCTGTAATTCCTTTTACTGAAAGTTTTAGCCAATTCTTTCGGTATTCGGTTGTCTGTGTTTTTCGTAGAAATGAACTGAATAAGAAAAATTAAGGCCTCCACTACTTAAATATTGCATGTTAAGCACAAAAACAAGATAAAAATGCCATTTGCCGTTGTGAAGTAAGTCAAAATTTATACTCCTTTAAAAAATATGTATATAAATGAAATTCGTTATTATCCCCAAAATGCTGAATTTTATTACGCAACACAAAGTGTAACAATATATTTACAATGAAATTTACCATCATTAAAATGCATGGCATCAGCAGACTGAAATAAAAACTACGATCATAAAAATGTATAAAATTAACAAATTGTGCCTTGTAAGTTACTACATTCTGTGAAACATGGTCTGCTTAGCACAATACGATTATGAGTTAATACTCCTCAGCATTTTGCATAAATATATTTATATCTTCTGCCTAACTAATGTGCTCCATTAATATTTCTAGACAGTATGATATTTTGAATTTGTAAATAGTAATTTATTGTTATTAGAGACTCTAATAGATGATTTTCTTCTTACTCTCAAACTACACTCATGTCCATAAATTAAGGATAATGCAAAATCAGGCAAAGGAAGAGTTAGAATCAAAACAAATTTGACATATTTGTAAAGCTTATTCATTAAACAAAAGGTAAAGAGCAAAAAAAGATGCTATATGTTTGATATTATTAAAAAAAATTAGCGATTTTTTCTCCCTGGAGCAAATTACAAAAAAAAACCTATTTACAAAAAACCAATATTTCATGGTTGTTAATACATTGTATATCTCCAAGACGATGCAATACAGTCCGAACAACGCCTAGGCATGCTGAGTATCAAATTATCGATCTGATCTTGGGGGATATTACACTACTCAAAAAGCAATGCTCCCCGAAGTTCCGGTAAACATGTAGGAGGAGGTTGACGGGCTGCAACTCGTCGGCCAAGCATGTCCCACACGTGCTCTACTGGATTCAAGTCCGGTGAGAATGCTGGCCAGTCCATACGGGTGATATCCTCCGATTGAAGGCATTCGTTTACGATGTTTGCACGGTGAGGACGGGCGTTGTCATCCATAAAACACAAATTGTGCGCCCATGCCGCCCCGAAACAAATGTACATGTTGTTCTAGAATGACGTCCCGATAGATTTGGCTTGTCATGGTTCCAATTTGAACATGCAGGTCAGTTCTGGAACCCAGAATAATTCCACCCCAAACGAGCACTCCTGCACCACCGTAACGGTGTCGTTCAATGATGTTTTCTTGGTGGTAACGGGTACCTGGAGCTCTCCATATGGAAGTCCGGCGAGAATCAGACTGCAAGCTAAACCAGGACTCGTCGGAAAACATCACACAAGCCCACTGTTGCGGTGTCCACAATGCATGCTCTCTACTCCAGGCTAACCGCAGTGAGTTGCAGTAAGTGGAACGCATCTGACAGGTCTACGAGCATATAGACCAATCTGCCCTAAGCGTCTGTACACGGTCTGCCTTGAAATTTTCGTACCAGTGGCTGAAGAGAGCTGAGGAGACAGGTCTGAGATTGTGCTCCGCCTGTTTCTTTTGGCAGTAACTGCCAAATACCGGTCCTCATTCGACGTTGTAATTCTGGGGCGACCTGTGCTGTAACGTCTACATTACCATCATCTTGGAATCGTTCCTAAAGCCTGGAGATGACACTCTGGGCAATTCCAAGTTCGTCTGATACTTCCAGTTGGGTACGCTCACATTCCAGACGGCCGATAATTCTACCATGTAAAAAATCATCCAAATGCGTCCTTTCTGTCATAACTATTCGGTTATTGCACTGAAATGCTTATAAAGTGCCTGCGAACAATTTTACTTCTTTGCCTATATTCCTTATATATCACTCTCTTACACTCTCGACATTGTGACGTACCATCGGTGTCATCTGGTTACTTCCTGAAATTTGCATATGATTCTTGAAGATGTGTGTAGTGATTTTACAAGTGATATATTTATTTTAGAGTTCAATTTTCGTGTGACTCCGAATTAACCTTAATTTATAGACATGAGTGTAATTGGACATTTGCAAACATAAGGGTCAAGAGATGCCTTTTCATTTAGCCTTCAATATTTGTATCTTAAATTCACTTTCAAGTAAAAACTAACATATAGCTGAAATTTTCCATGTCTTGTTACAGCTAAAATCAAATAAAATCTGACGATAGACGAAACTGTGTTTCACACATCAATACACTTTCCTTCCAGTACACACTATCTCCTTC